CAGAAGCCTTGGGATTAATCCAACATTCCACATAAACTCAGTTACAGTTCTTTATTGGTGAGGCCAGGCTAGTCTTGGGCTTTGCCAATGACCCTCAAGCGTTGCTGGCTTCACACACATAAGTCTGCTGCTCACTCACACCCACAGATCCTGGCTACCGTCCAGGATGGCTGCCTTCATGTGGTGTCTCTGAGGTCCAGGTTGCTTCTAACTTCTCTCTGTGAATGTGGCCAATGTAACACTGAGTAATTGAGAACAGAAATTATGGAGACTTTCTATTTAGTTGTCATCTTTCCCTGTAGCTCCTCAGTGTCCCCTTGTCTCTTATTATCACAGTTCTAGGGGAAAATTATCATACTCTCATTTAGAAAACTGATGACCAATCCCTTTGTCCAAAATATGTTTGAGAAGGCTGAAAGCTGATGTTGAGTGGTCTTGTGGTCACCAGGCTTTGTTAAGGAGGGGTCTTGCATATGCTCACCTTCGGAAGGACAGGCAGGCCCATGCCGTGGGCACCTTGCCTCTGATATGTCTTGTTAAGCACTGAGGGCTGGTGCTGGGGCACCATGGAGGTACACTGGAGCTCTAGCACCAGGGGATCTAAGTGGGCTGTCTATGGGGCACTGTTAGGCTCCACCACTATCAACTTGTGAAGTATGGACTTTTCTCTCCCTCCACCCCCACAGTTCTTGGGGTGTAGTAGGGACGACCCAAACTCCAACATGTGGGGATGAACATGTGACCCCAGCCTGGCCTAATAAGGTTCTGTGGATGGGTTCAGGAAGGGGCCAAGAAGCATGCTTTTTCTGTGACTCAGGAGACCTTGAGTATGAATCTCAGTTGCTGGCCAGAGTCTAGCCCTGCAGACAGAGCCTAGACCCCAGAATTCATTCCCTTCCCAGATAGATGGCTGCCAGGTCTGTCTGACACTCTTGGTGGGCTCACAGACCCAGCTCATAGTGGCCTCTGTAGAGCCTGGTGCTGCAGACTGCACCATCCTCCAGCTCCACACCACATCCTTCCAACCACCACTCATTCTAGCACCAGGAACCACCCCACTGGGCCTTTGGAGTCTTATCATTCAAGTGAGGTTCCTTGCACCATAGCCCAAATGCTCTGCAGAGTTCTTTTCTGCTCTGGGACCCATTTCAAACTGTCAGTCTTCAGGGTCTAGGGAGATAGGCCAGAGAAGTAACTTCAAGTTAACTTCAAGAAAGTGCCACTTCTAGAACTCAAAGGCACCCACCAGGGTCCAGGCCTCCTTTGTGGTGGGGAGTGTGAGATGAAATAACTTGTCCTTTACTTTGTCGGAAATGTCCTGACATGTCTCAAGTCCTTGAAACCCTGAAAACTTCATGATGTGGGGGGCCCTCAAATCCTTACAAGTTTTTTTCCTGCCCTCTAAGCACGTGTGTCTTAGAGTGCACATCTTATTAAAGCCTCCAATGAACCTCTAACTTCTCACTCAGAAGTAATGGTGTGATTTAGACAATGTCATCAACATAGCAAGCTAAACCAACCTTCTGCACACTGTCCAGATGGTTCAGGTCTCTTTGACTATGATAATGGAGGGCAAGATGCCTAGCTATGGGGCAAGACTGTGTTGTGTGCTGGTGGCTGTGAATGGGAGTCTCTTCTGATTCTCCCAACAGGGTGGGAAAGGATGGCCGTGACTAAGAATGACAGCTGTGTTGCTCTGACCTGGCCCAGGGGTTCAACTAGGGCTTCTGCTTGGTTGAGTTTGTGGTCATCCCATCATCCTCCAAAATCCATCCAGCTTATTAGAAGCTGGAGCAGTGAATTAAATAATCCCTTAGTCTTTCAGGATAGCACTGGTCTGTCTCCCCCAGGATGTGTTATTTTTTAATTTTAATTAAAAAAATTTTTTTTTTTTTAGGCAGAGTCTCATTTTGTTGCCTGGGCTAGAGTGCAGTGGCATCATCACAGCTCACAGCAATCTCAAACTCCTGGGCTACAGGTACACGCCACCATGCCCAGTATTTTTTGTAGAGACAGGGCTTTGCTATGTTGTCCAATCTGGTCTCGAACTTCTGGGCTCAAGCGATCCTCCTGCCTTGGCCTCCCAAAGTGCTGGGATTACAGGTGTGAGCCACCACACTTTGTTTTGACTTTCCATCCTGGGACCTAACTTGGCCTTCCCCACTGGGATGGCTCTTAACCCAGATGTCAATGAGCCAACAGGAGTGTTCTAACAACTACCACACATAGCACGTCTATGCAAATGTCACATGCCACATGAGGAGAAATGATCATTTGCTGGGTTCCTGGATCCAGTGGGCCTGCTGGCAGCCAGTCTTGATCCAGGACTCCACTGAATGCCAGACTCCCAAGTGCCTGCTCTTGTCCTTTCTAGTCCCTAGGCAGCAATGTGAGATTGGAGTCTGCACCCAACAGTCCTCAAAATGCCCAACTGGTCCCTTTCCCTGGCCAGTAGTTACCCGAGTGAGTGGCCAAGGGCTCTCTGCAGAAGTCATCAAGGCATCCTTCTGTACACATCCATCTGCAGCTTGGGCCCACATCTGGAAAATGGGCAAGGGATCATGACTTTTTTGGGACAATTTGCATTGCCCTTCTTATATCCATCTTTAAATTCCTTTGATTTTATACATTGAGCCAAAGCCAGTTTTGCTGGCCAACTCCGTATCTTGAGCTGGTTGCATCTTGTTTTAGGACTATCTCACCAGCTCTTTTCAGTTTGCGACCTCATGGACATTCAGGACAGCTATGATGCCAGCTTGTAATGCTGATGGCTGAGTGTCACCCTTGACCATGTCATTTCACTGTATGACAGTCCTTACCCATAGCAGCCCAGTCCCACAGAGAACAGCCACCACTGAAAGTCTCGTCAGCACATTCTGAGGCTTTCTCTGACACCCAGCTGGCCACTGGGCAGTCTTGTGGAGCCCACCTGCTCCTGTGTGCCATCTTCTGCCTGTACAGCAGCCTGGCATTTTCACTTCACCTATGTGGGGCTCAGCTCTTATGAGATTCAAAAGGTCATCCTGACAGCACAGGACACCTCCGGGTACTAAGTCTTGTATCAGGGCTGAAGACTCCCATGTGAATAAACTCTCACGAGATCTCCATCTTCTCCCTGCTGCCCGAGCCTGGCCTCTCCTGGACATGGCTGTGCACCTGCTCCAGCTCTGCCTGTGTGTCTGGCCCCGAAGCTCCTTCGGCCAACTATTCCTCCTGCCTCACACTCCAGCTCTGCTGGTGGACGGGTTGAGCTGGAGGCAGGTCCTGCATGTCTTGGCTATCCATGGAAGTCTCTCTGTAGGGTGCCCCAGCACAGGGTGCACACGGCCTTTAACAGGGAGGCGAGGCACCTCTCCAGGCCTGGCAGATCTAGAGGAATCTAGATTCAGGGTTTTTGAGGACATTAATACAGATAAGCCCACTCCAGCCTCCTTCCTGATCGGGGTCCCAACAGTGGCGTGGCAGCCTGCTTTGGAGCCTCCTGTGTGGCTGAATCCTGGCTCTGAACTAAAGCTGTTTTGGTTCTCTGGTCACAAGTGATGTCTGGGTCACATTCTCCTTTTAGTTGGTGATCATTTCATTACTTTGCCCCCGGGGAGCTCTACCTCATTCCAGTTTCTGTAACCACTGCTTCCCTCGCCATAGCACAAGACACTGCCCTTGCCCCTGTGTCCTTCCATGGAATCTGTTCTCGCTCCACAGCTACTTCCTTCATAGCTAGCAGGCCAGGGAGCAGCCCAGCTTTACCCTCTTCAGCGAACACTCCAGGCCCAGGTGTCTGGGACTGGGCTTCCTGGACGCAGACACTGAGGCAGGGACCCGTGTGTGGCAGTTTGGAGGAAGAAACTACCAGAAGCACATGAGGAGGGTGGACTGGCACAGAAGCCTCTTTGCAGCTGCTGTGAGTCAAGGGATCCCCTCCATCCGTGCTTCTCCGAGAAAGAAGCTCGGGAGCTGGGGCTGCTGCTCAGAGCTGTCTCAAGTGGGCACAAGCCTTGGTCCTAGAGGCCCAGGACAGCACCAAGGCATCCACTGCACAAACCGCCCAGGCCCAGAGCCAGATGCCGAAGACCGGTCAGAACCGAGGAGATGTTGCTTTCTTCACCTGAAATTTCCAGAAAATGCCACGTGCAAAGGAGCCAATGACTGAGACCGCGGGAGGCCTGCGGGGCTCAGAGTATCCGGGCCAGGATGGTTATGAATTTTCTCAACATATACCCAGCCATTTGTATTTTGAGGAAGTCAGGATAAAGCAGTGAAAAAAAATAGGCCTCTATCTTCACAAGCTTGATTCTACTGCGTGCGGTACGTGCGTGCTGTCCGCAGCTGCTAAGTTTTGCAAAATAGAGGTGAGAAATAGAGTCCTCGGGGCGACCAGACCAGATGCCAAGGAGGGGAAGACCGTGAGCAGAGCACAGACCCGAAAAGCAGGTGCGGCGGGAATCTGCGTGTGTATCAGGCAGGCAGGGTCGGAGAGTGGGTGCAGAGCGGTCTGACCCCGGCCTCCCCCGTCCCTGAGCCCGACTCGGGTGCCTGCCCACCCCTCCTCCACTGTGCCCGGACCGCCGGGAACACACTCCGCGCCCGGACACAGTTCCGTGCCCAACACCACCCCCCCTCAGGGGATGCCCTTCACTGCTCCTGAAATTCACTCCCTGGTGCTCCTCGTTCACTGCTCGACCCCGCGGTTCACTCTCTTCAGTGCCCGACCCCCCGGTTCTCCCTTTTCAATGCCCGATACTCCCGTGCACCCCCTTGAGCGTCCCAGGCTCAAGCCCACCCGGGTCCCCTGGCGCAAAGCCTAGCGGGCCTGCCCTTCCAGTACAGCCTCGGAGACTGAGCCCGCCCCTTCGAGTCTCGGCCAATGGGGAGCTGGACCAGGCCGTAGGCGGAGCCCCCATATTCCGCCCCTGCGCTCGCCCAATGGGTGGGCGCGTGGCGATGCGGGCGGAGCCGCGGGGTGCGGACCACTGCGGCTCGCGGGGCTGCTGCCCGCTCGGCCCGCGCTGCCCGCTCGGCGCGCGCTTCGGGGCGAGGCTCGGCGGCTCCTGTGGACGCGCAGCATGGCGGTGGAGGAGGAGGGGTTGCGGGTGTTCCAGAGCGTGAAGATCAAGATTGGTGAGTGCCCGCCGGGCAGCTGACATGGGAGGGGGTCTTGCCGGCTGGGGCGCCCCCAACCGCGCTCCCCAGTGTCTGCCTCTCTCCCGGCCCCCGCTAGGGGGACGCGGCGGAGGCGCCCTCCGGGTGATGCGCCGTGACCGGAGAGCGGTCTGGGCTGGCGGTGCGGTCCGCTCGCCGCCTCTCCGCCTCCCGCCTCCCCCGGCGGCCGGCTGGGCAGAGCAGGACCAGGCGACTACCGCCGACCATGCTCCCTGGAGGCGCGCGGGGAGGTGGGGTCCCCGGCACCGAGAAGGTGTCTGTGTGAGTGTGCGCTGCGCGCGCCGGTGGATGTGCGTGGGTCTGTGCGCGTCAGTGTGCGTGCAGGAGTGTGTGCGCCCGCGTGATTGCGGGAGTGCGCGCGCGTCTGTCTGCTTGGGAGCTTGCACTTGAGGTGTCAGATCCACACTATTGAGATATCCGCATCTCTTCTCCGCCGCGGCGCCCAGAAACTTCTTTCCGGGAAACCGGTCCACATCTGTCCCCGACCAGCCACTGGCTGGGGCGTGCGCGCGCGCTCCTGTGTGGGTGGATGCGCGCGCACGAGAGACTCCGCGTGTGCGTGTGTCTGCGGAGCGCGCTGGATGAAGGCCCCTGCGGGGCAGGAGCCACTGAGCTGTCCCTTCAACCCCCTGCCTTTGAGAACTGACGGCCAGAATCTGGGCTGCCGGGCAGGGGAGGGAGAGGAAGTGCGGGCCCTGAAGGCGGCTGGGGGAGGCTGGGTTTGGATGGACTTGGCGTTTTATCTGGAGGGATCTGCTTTTCCCTAGTGGTTTCATCCTGGGAGAGTGATGGGCGAGTCCTCCCTGCTCTCCTCCAAACAGGGTTCGTTGCTGGAGTGACTGTTACAAGTCGGTGCACTAAATGTGCTGGGGGAGAGCAGGGTTGGTGCTGTCAGGCCCAGAGTGTCCCTGTCCCCAGGCCCTTCTCCCCACTGCCCTGCGCCCCCATCCTGATGTGTTCCCATGTGCAAAACGCTTCCAGGAACAGAGCCAGGCTCCAGTCACTGCGGGAGAGTCAGTTGTTGATGACATTCGATGCTGCCTGAGGAATTCCAGAGACCCCAAATCAGCGCGTTGTTTCCTGCCGGCTTTATTTTGGTTTACAGATCATCGCTGAGACACTGTTTTGATATTTGGCTCAGAGCACTGCAGATGGGATGTGGCAGCACTTCAGCTCTGAGTAGTTGGCAGGGGAGGCGCTTCTCTTGTTTATGTGGCTGAAATCTGCTGTCACTTTTGTATCAGGAATGCCCCTGCATGCTCTACCTGAAGTGTCTGACACATTGTCTCTCTAGGGTCATCTTGCTGCATTTACTTCAATTTCCCTTGATTAATGAATGAGTCCAGTGAGGTGTGAGGAACCACAGGGGACCGTGGCTTGGGTGTTGCCATGGTGGCAGGTGGCAGTGGGTCTGGGGGTCTATGGTTCTGGGGCACAGCCAGTCCTGAATTGAAGGGTCATTCCCTTCCCAGCAGCACCTGAAGTAGGATGGAGGCGAGGGGGACCCTAAATGTCCAAGAGAGTGGTGGCACTGGCCTTCCTGGGAACCCAGCCTGATACCTGGCATCTATGGGAGGGTCCAGATGCCCACACATCCTGCAGAGGCTGGCTGGCAGGGAGGAGGCTGAAGAAGCTGCTTGCTCCCACAGTTTCTTCTCCTCCCTCTGTGTTCCACTTTAATCAGTGAGAAGGACTGGCTCAGAGGGGCTTAGACCTCTAATCCAGCATGGGGACTGGGTATAATCTGAGCCTTGGCCCCTCCTCCCCCCATGCTGAGGAGCAGTAGCAGTGAGGACAGGTTAATAGCCCACTGTACCAGCTGCACGACTCCTAGAGTGTTGACTCTGGCTCTGGAGACCCCTGTTTTTCTCTCTCCTCCAGGGATGTTCCATGCAGGGTTTGCTGCAGGTGTGCCCCTCCCTGCTGTAGCTGAGTGTATGGGAGCTCAGCTGGATACCTTCTCTCATTTGAGCGGAGAATGGTTTGAGCTGAAGATGTCAGAGGTGATCTGTGGATGAGCTGATTTGGGGTTTAGTCTCCCTTAACTGTTTTCCATGGTCCTGATACTTTGGGGCCCTGAAGGAAAGCCTGTCAGGAGAACGGAAGTAGAGGATGGTCCAGGGCAAGGTGGTGGTTTGGGCCCTGGAGGCACAGACAAGATGGTGACGCTGTCATTGATGTGGGCAGATGTGTGTTAATCAGACACTGCACACAGTGTGCTTTCCTGTTCCTTCACCTCAGGCTCTGCTCTCTAGGCTCTGCGCTCCACGCCCTAGTCTGCTGGTGACTTGCTGGGTGACCCCAAGGTCTTCCCTTCATAACCTTTTCCCTTGGCAAAAGGCAGGCAATTATTGTCTGCTGTGTCCTGCAGGAGCTTACAAGACAATACTGTCCGGACTTACGTTAATGCCTACCCCCTCACTCCCAGAAAAAGAAAAATTGTCCCTAAAGTTATACCATAAGCAATATGCTACTATTATTTAGAAAGAAATGCTGAAGACTTTGGGGGTGGGTAGGAGCTTTTTTTTTAAGATATGAGGGGTGTTGGCTTTTTTTTTTTGTTTTTTGAGACAGAGTCTCATTTTGTCATCCTTGGTAGAGTGCTGTGGCGTCAGCTCACAGCAACCTCAAACTCAAACTGATTCTCTTGCTTCAGGCTCCCAAGTAGCTGGGACTACAGGTGGCCATAACACCCAGCTATTTTTTAGAGACGAGATCTTGCTCTGGCTCAAGTTGATCTTGAACCTGTGAGCTCAGATAATCAATCAGCCTCTCCGAGTGTTGGGATTACAGGTGTGACCCACCGCTCCAGGCCGGTGATGGCCTTTTTAAATTCTTAAATAGTTCTGGGATGTATAACAGTGCTTTGTCTGAATTCATTCAGAGGCTGAAGTTGGAATAAACGGGAAGAAGCTCTTCCTTTTACCCCTCCCTCTTTCTTTTTCCTTCTACCTTTGCAAATGAGATAATACAGAGGAGCCAAATAAAAGTAAGGCATTTTTATCATAACTATTTTGAGTCCTTGTCTTGAAGCATCTACTACTTTCCCCATTTAAATTTAGCAGGGTTATTTTAGATTTGTTCTTCCTTACACTTAAACATTTTAAATGTTGTATATCTTTGGTAACAATATCATTTTTTACAGCTGTGTCTCAGTGCGCCAAGTGTGACTGAGCACAGGCTTCCTGTGAGATCCCCACTTTGAGGAAGTAGCTGTTCTGACTGTGCATGAGTCAGGCCAGGCAAGAGCCCTCCATCGCCAGCCTGAGGCCTTGTGGTGTGTCTGCAGTCTCTTCCTGCAATATTCACTACTTGTTTTCAAAGAGTGATCTTATCTTGATAAATGTGTTTCATACACAAAAAATATTTCTCTTAATCTATTAAAAACTTCTTTAAAAATTTCAGCCTTGCTTTCTAGGTTGAGAAGGGTCCTCTGGAATGCTTGTGACTGCTTGTTTTGCTGTCTAGGTGAGGGCAGTGGGCAGGCCTGCAGGGGTAGCAGCAGGCTCTGCCTCCCTCCACTGTTTTCCCCACAGCTGCCTCCGTTCTCTGTCCTGGCCCCTTCAAGAGGCTTTCATGTTCCTTTGTTGTAAGGCCAGAACTTGTCCACAAGGAAGGGCCTGTGGCAATCTGGGTCATGGTACCTTAGAGCTGACAGCTTTTGTAGAGCCCTGGGGACTGCGGACCTGGGCAGGCTCCAGCCTTGAGCTCTCCAAGAGGAGATGGGAGGATTGCAGGATGGGGTATGTGGAGGCATTTCTAGATAGTGCCCCTTAGCCATTCAGCCAGGTGGGATATGGCAGCAGCAAGAATGTGCTATTTCAGGGCCTTCGCAGTCAGATTAGGAGCTGGCCTAGAGTGTGCATAGTACCTGGGTAACAAGTTGGAATATTTACTGAGGGAGGATCTTCACTGGGCTAAGGCAGACCTGAAACAAGAGCATTTTGTGGACACGAGGACACAAAGCCAGCAGCACTATACGTTTTCCTGCCTGTCTAGCCTCACATGGCCCCAGATCCTCCTGGTTAAGAGAACTTGGATATTCTCTTAACCGAGCTTGGCTAAGTGGCCTGTGCTATTTTTAACTTGTAAGAGTGAATGTGCATGGAAAAAAAAAAAGAGTGAATGTGCATGGTTGCTTGCACTTGGGGGTCAGCAGCACTGGGTTTGCTGGGTGTGTATGTGGATGCTGATCTCATATAGGAAGTTTACATGTATCACCTCATTTTATTTATGTTCTCCCAACCCCATGACGTTCACGTTGAGTGATGTAGTCTGCCCAGAGTGGCCCAGCTTGTGGGAGCCACACTGGGATCTGAGTCCACATGTGTGATGCTGTGTCCTGTTCTCCTCACCCCTTAATCTTACCAGTTTAAATGGCTCTTTCCTTTCTCTGTGATCTTGGACTTGACTGAGGAGGGTGGCAGATTGTGGAGAGCTAGAAAAGAAAGAGATGTAGGACTTCAGGGACCAGAGACAGTCAGTGTCCAGAGGGAAGGAAGGGACCACCAGTGGTAGTGGACATCAGCCTGGAGATCCCAGACATGCAACATTAGCCCAGATGTGCTGAGATAGAATTCAGGGCGAGAGGACTAGGGGAGATGAGGTCTTGGGGTGCAGAGAGGACCCCTGTGAACAGATGGGTGGCCGCACAGCCCCCAGGCACATTAAGGCCTCAGGCCACGTATGGGCCTGAGGGCAGTACAGGGCCACCTGGGACAGCTACACTTGTGTGGAATCCAGCAACATTGTAGGAACCATTTTTATTTGCTTCTGTGGGGCTCAGGAGGCACTTGAAGCTAATGAGAACATATATAAACACACTTAAATGAATTAACCACGTCTTCCTGAAGGAGTTGAACATGATGCTTCCTAAAAGAGTTGAAGCGTGGACACGTATGAGTTTGGAAATGAGGTGAACGTGTGGCTGGGAGCACACACACCAGGGACGGTCCACC